GTCATAAAATTTCGTACTGCATTCGACGTGAACCAGGTGATATTACCATAGCGAATCAAACTTCTCAAACCGATTGGTTTGCTATGCATACGAAGACGTCCATTTTTGTAGTGAGTGGCAGCTTTGTACTCTAAATAACAGCGACATCTCCAATGGAAGGTTCAGTGGCGGCGGAGTGGCAATCGACCCTATATGTATTGCAGAGCACCTCTCACCACTGCGCCACACGCGACCGTGACGTCACGCAAAATCATTAATATAAGCAACTTTTGGTATAGTGAGCAAGCCATTTGGTCAATAACCACAACTTGTTAAACATAACACCTGATATAAATTTTCTGCTATTTATACGTGGGGTGGATGAAAAGTGGACAGTGCATTTTATTTTATGCATTTTCTTTCCCGTGGCTTATTTTACTGCACAGAGATTTTTCATTACACTTTTTGTATTTACTAAATCGATAGCTTTTATCCCAAATGCAGGTGTTATGCCAAGTGTAAGCCATGAAAAGCCGTTCTCTACATTTTATATCTTACAAAAAAAATTTTGGAGAGGTTTGCTGAACGCCATGTGTTTGGGGGGACAATGTTAACATTCACTATCATTGGTCTCGCTCTGACACCGCCAACCACAACCATCACTGCTGTTAAACTGATACAAAGTAATATTGGTTTCTGTTGGAGTTATCCTAAGCAATAAAACGGGGTTTTTTCTCTCCACTTCAAAGGCATATCACAATCGCCGCTAAGCCTATCTGGATGGAGGGTCGTCTTTATTCTCAATCTTATCATCCCACAACTACACCAATCATTTCAACTCAGTTCCGGTTGCTGAACGCTAACTCTCTGGTGTGCCACTTTGCGACTGGAGAGAAGAAAACGATGATCGTCTTGTAAAGAGTTATATTTCTCCTATTAATCAATTCTTTAACAGAGTCACTTACGAATATCTTAATAGTCGTAAGGAGAACTACTTTTTTTTGTGGTCGTCAGCATTCTCCGTCCCTGCTTATAAAGAGGATAAAAAGTCTAATAGTCATTTGTGCGGAATTTTGTTGAAATTTCAAGACAGCTGTTTTCGAAACAAGATTTTACGAGTGACTAAGATGATATATATTAGAATAGAAGCGCATGACTCCTGACATCTAGCACTTAGAGATGTGAACAGTTACTTGAACTCTTAGTGAAGACTAAAACGAATTTCTCTTAATAACTCGAAAGACCGACTTTCTATAAACCTCAGCATAGATAGTTGATATAATGTTATACCTTTTTATTTTCTGGCGAAGGACCCGCATGGTGTGGTGGTGAAAGCGTTACTCCCCGGAAAGGACAATAGCGCGTTCGTTCCCCACCATAGACACCTGCGGTCCAGAGTTTTGCAAATATCTCAGCAACGTTGATATATTTGTTGATGTGATCTTATAAACTGATCTTCTTAAGCTGTTACGATGTTACGTGCGGGACACCACGGCTCTGAGGAAGGTGAAGTCGCCGAAACGTCAGCCATCGATCAATAACATCAAAAAGAACGACAACGACAACGAAGACTTGTACCAACCTCGCGTCAGCTTAAGAAGATCAGTTTATAAGATCACATCAATAAATAAAAAGAATGTCGTACGAAATGCTGAGATATTTGCAGAACTCCGGACCACAGGTGTATGCAATGGAGAACGAACATGCGCTGTTGTCCTTACCGGGGAGCAGCGCACTTCACCACTACACCATCCGAGCGCGTGTTCGTTCTCCATTGCATACACCTGTGATCCGGAGTTTTGCAAATATCTCAGCATTTCATACGAGTTATATTTCGCAACATAACCTGGCATTAAGAAGAAAAAGGCAGTAAATAAAAAAAGAATGTCGTTTTTTTTCGAATAGCTGTCTATAATTTGGATGACTTCCCGTTTGACGTCAACTCCGCTTTCGGCTCTAGCAGAGGTTATCAAAATCAGTTGCACTCAACATTATTTACTCGACCACAGGTGGATGTGAAAAGGATGGTCCCGGATTATGTATACCCATCCGATGGCTAATCCATGCTTCCAGGTACTACCGTGAAGTTGGTGCCTATATATATATATATATTTATATATATATATATATATATATAAAGGATTCCATGGTTTAGACGTTGTGGTTACCTGGAGTTTCGGGACCAGCCAGGCCAAAGTCACCACCACAGGCAGCAGCGGCGCTTATGGATCAGAGGGAGATGCAACTAACTTGATACTAGGACGGTGGTGGATCCTGGCATTGGTTTACTCTTGGCTGGGCTTCCTGATGAAACACCGGACTCCTTCTCAGCTTGGGAGACCCTGCCAGGGTGTTGAAACTTCCCGACGTACATCGCAGCCCGGCACCCAGGAACAGCTCCCAGCCATGATGAGGCGGTAAACCTTTGGGAAGTCACGGTGCTGACGTAATCGAAAAATAGAAAACATCCCCGATCCATTTAGGCCGTTGTAACGAACTTGTAATAGTCCCCGTAGGGTACACTGGGAAGGAGAGGAAGGAAATAGTACCTAGTTTATGAATTTGTGGTGGGATGGGAATTTTGGCTGGAGCTTGATACTTACATGGATACTTAGATAGTAAGTCTTCACGAGTTTTGCGGACCCTAGTACATTTTTTACTCGTCTCTTTCCTTGTGATCGTTGTTCATGGTGGTGCTCCGCTTCAACTATGGTGACGTGTGCGAGTGTCATGATCTGTAAAACAACTGCTGCTGCTTGTACTGCTGGATGACTTTAGTTACGAACACGCCGTCTATCGTGGAGGTGGTTTTAGTAAAGGACGCTTGCATTCCCTTTCATTCATTGCAGTTCACTCTGCAGTTCTTTTCGTCCATCTGTCCGCTGTTCTTCTAATTATATTACCGGCCCATCTACTTTTCGCTGTCGATGTACGTTCACATGAGTCTCGAAGATGGGGCAGAATTCAAATATCTGAGCTTTGCATTCCGGCTAGATGTTGGGGTTTGAACGATAAACTATTTAGGTAATCAAGTACAAATGCAAGTGTATGTATTCTTGCGTCAACCTTCAAGAAAGCTAGAGCCCATGAAAAGGATCCCTATGCATGACGCTCGTTTCATCAAGTCGAGTGCGTTATGAGATGTTAGATGAGTGCCACTCCAAGACACAGACAACAACGGGCTCAGTTGGCAACAGGAAAATAACCACTCGTGGTCAACATACTCTAGACCGCGCGAAAGTGGGACCTTCTCCGAACTCCCATATGTGAAAGAAATAAAGTTTCTTCACTGTCGATTGTGATCTACTGAAGCAGAAGTGCCATATTGGAAGTAGAAGATTGGTGATACTTACGGTAATTTGAAAATAAGTGATATTCAGAAGCACGTCCACATTATCCCGTCATCCTATCCCACACTTCAACCAGCTTTCTGTACTAGGAGGCGAAACAGCCGGATTAGCCGCTGAGCGGCGCCCATTTAACAACGACCGTGCTATCGGTTTCACAAACTGGCTATGAAGCTATCGAAGGCCATAGGATATTCAATAAAAAGATTTCAAAGATGTCAAATACCCCAAAAATTTGATAAAATTAGCTGAAACTAGGCTCAATGTACCGGAAAATTGTTCAGAATTCTATTTCAGGGTTACGATTTCTGTCTCATAAGTCACAATAAAAAGAATTAGGCCTATGCCATTTCCATGAATTTTTTGTTTCCATAGAAAGTCGAAATGCGATGGAAAATTGAGCTCCCTAGTTACAATATAGCTCTATAGTACCGTAACGTTCCGTCATTTTGAGATATCCTTAGCAAGAGTTTGGATCGAGTGCATCGGAATCCACTGCTCCTAACTGGTACTTTAAAGGAAAAGAAAACAAACCTCCATAAATTCGTCGGAGTTTTTTTCAAAAGGAAAAGAAAAGAAAGAAGTAAATCACGAAGAATAAATTATCGTCTATTTGAGTCGCATCACATCGCTTGTGGAGTGACAAGAAGACATTGTCGTCGGTATCACAAACGCCGAAAAAACGCCTTCGTTCAGTCGCTCATATATTCCTTTTTTATTTCTTTATTTTATTTTATATGATTTATCTTCACGTCTACTGTGCGGATCCCAGCATTTCTCGCATTCGATTCATTTCCTGGTATCCACTGTCCACGAAGATCTACCAACTTTTTACGTGTGGCTACGGTTGCTGTTTGAGGATTATCATTTCATCCTGAATGTCGTAGAATGCAGGTTGAGCAATTCTCCCTAGAGTCCTCAGATAGCGTGTTGGAGCGTTGTCAATTGGATTGCAGAGAGTGATGTTTTGCCAGGCAAGTCCGGTACCAATTTCACTACCCCGAGAAGATAAGAGGTTTGGTCGGCGCGGAGCGGAATCGAACTAGCACCATACTGGTGATGACGGACATTACTACTGCGCTATCCGCTTCCTGCCCCTCATATGTGTTATGTGATATTATATTATATATGCAGAATTGATGATCACTGGCTGGTTGGGTTATTCACGTACCAGCCAGCCAGCCAACAACTAGTGCTGATCAATTATGCTCAACTATGCATTTCGGTCTTTTGAAATTTCTAAGCCGTGTGATCAGAAGCGCCAAATCTCAGTCAAGAAAAACCGAAGTGTACAAAAACAGCAGTGTAGTCGTGTCTAGATAACACTTCTGGGATGTAGTCAAAAGACTGCCTAACACAATGAAGAAATTTATTGCCGTTTACGTCCGAGCCACTTTCTCAAAGTGGGTGGCCACCGACTTTATTTACAACTATATTCCATCAAGTACGTCACCTGTGGCAAAAACCAATCACTCTGTTTATCAGAGAGTTATGTCGTCGGTTTGTCCTTGGAAGTGGTAAGCGCACAGTGGGTAACTGCAGGTGAGTGCGCAGGAGAGCGCTCGACCGCAGAGGATGGTTTCGCGCAGGGACGGCGATACTGCGTGCAGCAAGTGGAGGGGTGGGAGACGGTATGGCCGTCGCCACATGCGCCACTCTGCGCGCACTCCCGCCATGGCCAAGGTGGAGGTGCAGATCCGCAGCTGCTTGTGCTGCGGATTATCGCTTGCTACTGTATTCGTCGCTATCTACACTTTGGTGAGTACTGTGAAGCCAAGTTTGCTGAGGACTTCTAATGTATCCTGAAGCCTCATGCTGTAGTCATTATATGGCTAAGTCATTGTCGTGAGTCAAGTTTTCGAAGAATCACGCTCTGAATCCAGCAGGTTCATGACCGTTGCAATCAGCCAGATTTATGATAGCTACATTTCTTTGTCCGCTTGTTGTTTTCATTTCCATCCTTAGTTCTGATTACAGCTGTAATATCCGGAGAACAGTTGGCACCGTTCGTGCTGCAGTTTCTATGGTTTTAAACACTAAAAACATTTTTTTTGGCTTTCTCCTACAAGTCTGTTTTCTATAAATGACAGGGCTGTTGGTTGTTTTGGAAGCTTAGGATTGTTTCCTTTAGCGCTATGGTCTTTTTCTATTGAGTATAGGGTTCTAGGACATGTTCTGAAAAAGGATTTGCTGCTACTAGCTAAAATAAGTTGAACGATATGAACATCATTCAGATCCTCTACTCACTGCTTACTGGGTTGGCTGCATGGGGCTTATCCGACACGTTGAATAATGGCGATTCGTCGCATTATCGCAGCTGTGATTTAGAGGCACAGGGCAAACTCACTGCAGGCGAGTTCGAACGACGCGCATAGAAGTAAGCAAAGATTAAAACCTAGAGCTTAACTGTTCAGAGAATCGCAAACTCACCTTTCACGGTGGACACACCACTGTAGTTGTCGAGGACTCGACTACCTACCACTGCTCCTTTGGCCTCTATACGGAAGAACTCAAATATGAAGCTGGATGTAGGTGTTTCCAATTGAATTTCCTTCATTCTATTCACTGACTTCCATCATTGGTTCCATTAGTTGGTTATTGTTCCATCATTTAATTTATAAAAGCCGTTAAACAAACCAAGTTTAGTGACTATAATTTTTTTGCTATGAAAAGAAATGGTTGTGAATTAAACTATTTGAAGAATGGCAATGTAATCTCCTTTATGTAACAGTTCATCTTGGAACTAAAACTCTTTAAAACTACTACAACTACTGTAGCTTTCAGTGCGCTACACCACTCTGGTGGTGAACATCTTCGTTTACGTGTGTGTCGTTCTCGCCTCTATTCTGATGCTTCTCGGTACGTTTAGTCATTGGAATTGCACGTCATTCACAATCAGTGTAAAAGGAATCCTAACTTTTTTCGCGAAGCTCTGTTGCCTATTGTAGCGTGAAAAATGAAAAAGGGCTAGAGAACGAATGTAACAGGTATTCGAAAGTTCTACGTGAACACCGTATGACTTCGTGATAATCAGGCTTAATTCGAACAGCGTCCCAGAACTTATAATTAGCCGTTCTTTTGCCCACATCTTGACCTCATCTACATGTCAGTAAATGGAAGGAAATGGTATTGCAATGTTCACTGTTCACTATAGGTTTGTTAATCTACAACCAATGGCTATTGGTTCCGTGGATGATTATCATGGCCATCGACATCATCCGTGGTTTCATCTCAGTGCTCTTCATCTTTATTTATAGCTACGTAGGTTGCTTTCATTTGTCCCTTTACTTTTATGCTGATTGGTAATAGGAATGAAATTGGGTGTGGTCGTTTTACGGGCGGAAAAACCAGATTCGCTGGCAATCATTTGAAGATGTCACATCGTACGACACAGTTTAAATGTTATTAGTGTGCTTTCGTTCGATTTTGATCCATGAGGGATTTACTAGCTTCATAGTACTATACACTTTTGTGGGAAACACTTGTAGAGGGAATAGCTTCAAATAGAGACATTGAGCATTCAGTGGGTATCGAGAGTTGTTCTAGTGGCCTCCGTTAACCTATCCTCATGGCTGCTTCTTCGTCGTCCATCTCAAAAGCTCTCATCCATTCTGGGCGCTATGTAGGAAGAAAAAAAACGTAAAAATAACAACTTTCGGAAAAATTGACACCGAATTTGATCGATGTATTGTATTTCTAGATTGCGCAAGGTGGGTCACCACCACTTGGTGGAATTATTGCTGCGAACCGGTTAGAGTAATGTGAGGCGCGGATATTCTTCCGAGAACGACGGAATGCGGTTGGTGGTGACGAGAACGGGGATCGTGACTTGATTTCTCTTTCTTGTTAAAAATCCCTATAAAGGAATTTTTTGTTGGGAGGAGAATTTATTAACATCTGGTGATATCAGCAAACTTGTTCGCTCCATCGCTTAGATCCTTTCTTTACCGTTTAAAATCTTAATGAAAATCATCCCATAGAGGTCATATCGGGCGGGCGTACTAAATGATGTGGGCGGAACGTTCGAAAGATTTCAGACATACGACACCAAATAACGAAAATGGGTGAGTCCGAGTGGGAGGTTCAGTTCAGAACAAGTCATTGTTACGCGGTTGGTTTCACCATGGTTACACTTGAACATGCCAAAATACGTCATGCCAGCCAGAGAGAATCGCAATGTCGTCTTCTTTAGATATGTATAACACTTGTGATTTTCATGTGCGAAAATGATTGAGGCCTGCGAACGCGACAAACCCGGCTACTTAACCCTTGTTTACTATGCAGCTGGAATGTGTTGTTAGTGCCAGGCTGCGTGCAAGTTTCCAATTCAACGATTTCTTTTACATCAGCTGTGATTTAGTACGAAATTGAATACGTGGGTGTGTTCTCAGTAGACAATCCCTAGTGAGTGCGAAGCCGATCAGTTCGGGGATTACGGCCGAAAATACGTTGAAGGACTAGAATCCAACGAGTTGCACTCTCTTGAGCCCGTTTCCACTGGAGCGTTCTCTGAATATTTCTCGCTTGTGCAAAAGTGTATGGTTTTGATATCAACGAGCAACAAGTATTAGGTCAGCGAGACATTCAACTTGAAAAGATTTCTTAGCGCCAGGAGTGAAAAGGAAATAAAGAAATAAAAAAACTGTGGAGGAGCACTGGATTCTAGTAATGATCTGCTTGGGCTGATAGAAAAATAATGACCGTTTATGTTATTACTTTGTACCGCTCATTTTCTGCCTAATTAATACATTTTCAAACACATCATTTAAGCCTATGTTAAGCTGATTGAATTGGTACTCCCAAAGCGTGAACATCGTATCGTTTTGCTGCATGGGTTCAAACTTGGGCATGAAGTAGGAACATCAAATTCGCAGACTCTTCTTAAGGCTTCGTACCAGGGATATGAGTCTTCGCGACCTCGTTGGTCGTTGAAAAAGTGGTGTGCCTCTCAACACTTAAGTTGACGACGGCCATCTGAAGCCGATAATGAGGCTGCGCTTCCAAAAACTGCTTGATGGGTTGTAGAAGAACTAAGCATTCACGATTCAACAACTGTACGCAATTTGATTCATATTGGAAGGATAAAAAGAAAAGCTCTATAACTGGGCGCCTGAATGAAAAAGAGCGAAATCACTTTCGTAAATTCTGTTTTGTGCCCTTTCTGCATTATTAAAACAAGGAATTCAACTCTCGCATTGTGATTTAAGAAAAGTACGAGAACCGGCTACGTTGATTTAACTGGATGAGATCATAATTGTTCCCGATGTTGAATTTTTGTGGAGAGATTATTATGACGAATTTTTTGTTTCGGCGGAGTGGAGTCATATAGTACAGAGCGTTCGATCTCACCAAAGAAATGCAGAATATATGTTATCCAGTCTTGTCCAACAGAAAACACACAATCTTCTTGCACGACAGCGTTACACCGTAAAATTTGAATGAGTTGGTTTATGAATCACACCCATCATATTCAGTGTATCTCTTGCTAAAAATCTCGCCCTACTCTCTCAACAACTACTGGCTGAGAAAATCTTCAAGAACCAAAGTGCTGGTGCTTAAAGTATCGGTGAAGAATTTATGGAATCTAGAATTTGAGAGTTCAAAGCTCCTGCGATAAACAACATTGACCTTTCTTGTCAAAAATATGTCAATTCCATAACGCAGGCGTACCCGCCACGCCAACCACAATCGCGTGTTGGTCAAATTCACCGTACATGTCACCTCCGCATCCTCTGGGTATCGGCGGTTCTTGAGCTCCTGCGGCAGTGAAGCGATCACAGAATCTAATTTATCCGGATAGGGTAATCACTAGTTCGAAGCTCACCGGAAGTCCCAAGTTTTGCAAAAATCTTAGCATAACTTTGGTCGTAATCCACGTAGTACATTGCCATGAAAAATAATGGGCAGTAAATGAAAAGGTAAACGTTGATTCTCGAGTCTATACAAAATCAGCGCCAGCACTTATCCATCGGCAACGACGAGTTTGAAGTCCAGCTGGGAAACCATTATGACTGTGCGCAAACTGGTATGCATTCGGCTGTCACTAGTGTATGATCGAGGAGCACTTGTACGCGACGCGCATGGTTTCCGTAGGTGGCCTATTGCGCTCTATACCAACTTTACTAGTGAATGATATTCCGTCTTATGAGGAAGGATTTCCTAAGCAAGCTAATAACACGAAGAGTCTCCAAGATTTCTACCGTGTAGATCTTTTTTCTTTCTGGCCCCACAGGAAACAGTCATTCAGTTGGGCTTCTACATTGGACACTCAATCACACAGACGCTGAAGTGTGAGGCGGTTTCACGTCTTTATCGCTTCCTAGGCCTTTTACTGCCTGATTTTCACATTTTGTGAGTTCCAAGAAACTATAATTGTGACGGCACATCAAAGTCAACGATCTCAAATCTGGAATTGATCTAAGCGCATATAGATGTTTTAACTGGAAAATGCGTCATATAAATATATCCCATAGATACAAATTTGGGGAGTGAACAAGAAGTTAAAGTGGTGTGTTAATTTCCTCTCAGCGTTATATGATTAGCACAAGTTAACTTTTTCGCAGTTACATACTTCGCTTTGAACGTATGAGATTTCTTAGCGATGTCGACCTGTGAGATGGAACTCCTTTGTTCGCAATAGGGTCGACCTAGCCCTAGAATTAGAAAAACTTGTTCATCTATCGATTTTGCTCAGTTACTTGAAGACACCTCTGGGAATGGTAGATCATTGACATGTTTGTTTATGTACTCACGAGAGCTACAGGAACGCTAAATTCGTATTCGCTGTTCATGCGACGTTCTTCGTCATTTCCACATCGAGACTAAAATTTTGGAAGTATCCGCACTTTCACCATTTCACCCTGTTTGATAACTCGTTTCCACAATTATTCATCATTGAATTTTCTCACTATGTGGTTCCGATGGAGACATGCGTGTAATAATAGGAGCCCCCGTCATAGTATTGAGCTGGTAAAGTGCTTCAGATGTAGCGAAGATTAAGGTTAGTAACTGGGGAATGCAAAAGTGCACTTGCTAGCCTGGAAAATGCTTTGGCCATCTTGATTTCTGTCAATCACTGTTTCGTGGTTGTTGACTGAAATCACCATCAACCACGAAAAACCGATGAGTGGCTCATGGCAACCATTTCAAAACGAAAGAACCAGATTTTGATAGAATTGTTTTATCCTGTAGAAACCTCGTAGTTCTATCGTTTCGCTTTTGATCGTTATAATTTATGACAGTTCACAAAAGTTAAATGATTTGAATATATAAGAGATAATGTAATGTTATATAGCTGGAGTTCTTGCGTCTTCTTGCGTAGGCTGTCTATCGTAATGGTTGTTGGTATTCGAGAAAGACCTGAGTAACCTTATGGGTGTACTGCTCCTCGCCTTTAGGTTCACTGACAGAGAGTAAACTCGGACTTTCTTTCTTTCTTTGCATTTGCGGTTTAGTCGAAATTAGAGGGAACAGTAGAAATTTGATGTATACCAAAAGTCGTTGTTTAGGGAAATCTTGCACGAATTGCAACCGCCATCTTCTTTCTGGGATTGCAGTTCTTTCACGTGAGTGATGATGAGCGACTGTTTCTTATGTTTTATTTCACTAACTTCTATACAACTTATGAAAAAAACCTGCTTATCGTGATAGCAATTCTCGAGGATTCGAGGAATTTTTTCAAAGCCGAGACTTGAGGTTTTTCTTAATGAAGAGGAGCACTGTCTGTCCATTAAATGGACCTTCTGGTATTTTCAGCGGAATAGTTCCATTCTGTTCGTCCATTTAACAGTCACAGAGATTCCAATTCCACTTATTTTTATGTATTTGAAAAGCTACGGTTACTACCATCATCACGAGCACGGTGCTAGTTCAATTCCACTCCGGACCAACCAAGCCTGTCATCCTTCCGTGGTTGAGAAATTGGAACCGGACTTATCTGGGAAGAATTCACTTTCTGTAGTCGAATCGAGAACGCGCCAGCCCGGCTACCTCAGGTCTTCACGGGAAATTACTCCACCAGCATTCTACGACATTCGAGGTGAAATGAAAAACGTCAGACAGCAATCAAAGCCACACGTAAAAACTTGGAAGAGCTTCGTGGACGATGTTCTCGAGAAAATGAATTGGGTGTGAGATGTGCTGGGATCCGCACAGTAGACTTGAAGACGGTTCAAATAGAATGAAATAAAAGCAAAATAGAGAAGTAAGAAACACCCGCATCATTTCTATTGTGGCACTTTAGCATAAGTCTCGATGTTGGGAACATCTCGGCACTTATTATCGTTTCTGTTGCGCCATAGTGATAATCATTATTTATTTAACTTCAATGATACTGAGATATTTGCAAAGCTCCGGACCGCAGGTGTATGCGGTGGGGAACGAAGGCGATATTACCCTTTCCGGGGGCTAACGTGTTCACCACCACACTATGCGGGATCGATAGAACTAGCTGAGAGACAGGCGGAACGAAGGACCCGCGTGGTGTGGTGGTCAACGCGTACTCCTCGGAAAGGACAATAGCGCGTTCCCCACCGCAGACACCTGCGGTCCGGAGTTTTGCAAATATTTCAGCATCATTGAAGTTATATTTCGCAATATATACCCTGCCGTTAAAATGAGTAGGCAGTAAATAAAAAGTTAAAATTATCTATTTATTTTATTTTACTTGACTCGTCATACATCTACGGTGTGGATCTCAGCATTTCTTGCATTGGATGTGTTTCCCGCGCATGCCTCGTCCACAAGGATCTTCGAATTTTCGCATTTTGTTCGTTTCCATGTGAACTGGAGGAGACCGTTAGGGAAGCAATTGAACCAGTATCTTGCCCCATGATGGGCCACATCAGTAGCCACTGCGCATTATCTCACTTCACGATGTTCTATGGTGTCGGAAACAAGACGATTATCCTCAATCGATTGGTTAACACCGAGTGCTTTAACTTTTATCACGAACCACCTAATTGTGTGAGATGATTGGTGATTGTGATTGTTGATTAAGGTTCGTTTAAAATCGAAGTATCACTTTCATGAAAGTGCGCTGTCCTTACGGAATTTTACAATTTCATGTACCAAAAACAGCCAAAACGTTTATTGAATCAGGAGTAGAATCTCTCATGTCAACAAAACTGTTGACGTAACTGTGGTTATTCTGTTCTCTAGAAGGTTTATAGGGGTGATATTAGATTGTAGATGCCTTTTCGTCTCCAGCGCTTTAAAAAACTTGCCGTCGTTAGAGATTGTAGTGGGACTTGCTAGATAGACTTACGTAGTCTTATTTGCTGTGTTAGAGTAGCGAAGAATCAAAATGTAGAATTAAATCTTTGTAATAAAGATTGTCAAACTCACCTTCTTCTCATCGTCTTTCTTCTTTAGTAGTGATGGCCAACCCTTATAGTGTAGGGTAATCTACTATAGAAAGCGGGGTACATCGAAATTTGTTGTGAAATGACACACGTACAGAACCTTGTGTCGGTTTTTCGAGAACTTAGAGTGCAATAACTTTATGATCAATGCTGAGATTAATCGAAGGTCCTCGTTGGATCTTCGTAGAATACTGGATTATCTTCGTTTTGGATTCTTTTTTATCTACACTGTCATTGGCAGTACACACATACGAGATTTTCCAGATCTCTCTTCTCATGATCATCATAGCAAAATTCCAACGTATCTATAACAGACGGAAAGGAATCATCATGGACTATCAGGTACAGAGAAGATCATTTATTTGCTGCTTTGCTCGAATTTTCTCTGAAAATCTCCGGTTCTGATGCCCGAAATTTTTGTGGAAACGGCTAATTTTTAACGGAAAACACTGGATTAAAATATGTGGTCCAGCTGTGGTTTCCTGGCACTGGCAGTATCTGCCAGTCATGTAGTCGCATGAAATTTTGAGCTATTCAGCACAAGGTACTCGTTTAAGTTTGTGAACTCATTAGGAATTGGATTTTAGTATGACTCACGCGCCTACCCTGGAGCACCATCGTCCACATACGCCTACTCGCCCGACAACCGCCGAGACCATTATACTTCGGATCACCGTAACCCCAGAGACTATAGCAGAGACCATGCGCCTCCTGGACCTCATGACCATACCGGATATCGATATTGATGATCGATGTGTAGTTGGATTCCTGTACAGTTTGGTTCGTTTCTTGCCGAAACACAACTCGTTGCCTCTTTCACTGCCATCCTTTTATTGTTTACTTTATTCTCATATGCATGAATCAGATGAAACTGTCAGTTGTATGCCTCTCTAACCAATAATGCATATGTATATGAGAATATTCTCAAACACCAATGAGATTTCTGAATATCTTGACCAGCATATTCGCAACAAATGGCCAGACGATCAGAATGACGATGGTTTTCCATGAAATTCCTCGCATTGCCATCAGATGAATGGTCTGAAACGCACGCTGAATTAAAGAAATGATCACCTTTGCTGAACAGAACAGAACAATCTATGCTAGAGACCGTTAGAGATTACTGGATATTGTTTTTGTTCAATAAAAAATTGTTTCAAATGTCTTGAAATGTCTTCACAACTGTCCAATTAGTCACTTTTTTATATTTTCGTGAACAACCATCGGAGTAGTCTGAGAATCTATCGATTATTGATGGCGAGGGTAAATGGTGGTCAGTTTAAAAATACTGGATCGCTATACGGCTGGTAGGCGGATAGCATAGTGCTAGTGATGCTCATCGTCACGAACATGGTGCTAGTTTGATCTCGGACCGAGCCAACCAAGCCTGTCATCCCTCCGGTGTCGGGAAATTGGTACCGGACTTCCTTGGAAAAAAAACCACTGTCTGCAATCCAGCTAGGAACGCTTCAGCCCGGCTATCTCAGGACTCCAAAAACAGTTAACCAACATTCTACGACAATCAAGATGAAATGAAAATCCACAAGTAGCAACCGAATCCACACGTAAATTTGGAAGATCTTCGTGGATGATGGATACGAGGAAACGAATTGAATGTGAGAAGTGCTGGAATCCGCACAGTATACTTGAAGACGGGTCAAATAAAATAAAGTAAAAAAAAAAATATGTTAGCTAGTACCTATTTCTGCAGGATGCATTTCGCCAGAAAAGCCGATCAAATCGGATGACGGAGTAGGTCAACCTCCTGTCTGTGTAAAAGGTCACCACTGAGCGAAGAACTTTCATCCCAGCCGTGCTCCACTTCACTAGATTCGACTCTATGCGGCAACGAACACCCATATCGTGAGCATGACCACCCACAGACCATCGAGTCGGATCAATCCGGCTCTGAAGAAGACGAAGGCGTCGGGACGTTAGACGAACACTTCACAAACCGACTCTCCTTTGAACTCGATATGAATTATCAACGCAACTTTTTTCATTAGTATATAGTATTTCAGTAATATCATAATTTGTGCAAGCTGATAATGATACCGATTTAGCAGGATGGATTGTCCGGAAAAACCAAGTTATGATCACCGGATAACAACAACCGTCTTGTATAAAAGAGCATTGCCGGATGGGATTGCCTCGATGCTCCACCGAGGAAAATCCGACTCGATACGACGACGAAGACAGCACTCGAGAGCACGAAAAACCGTGGGCAACGAGTCTGGTCATCGACTCTGATGAAGATGAAACCGTCGTAACGTAAGGCGAATAAAATTTATTTTATTAACTTCGTGTTAGCTCATCAACGAAACAAGGTACATTAGCCGAATAAATCTTTTCACCAGCCTCGTGTGAGCTTAGTAATCCAAGAAGAAAATGATTTGGCAGTACTAGCTTCCTAGTCAGAGGGAAATATCGAATTCCTACATATTCGTAACCCACTTAGATGATCCTCCTTAGCATAACGTGTTATGCGCCAGCACTTCTTCCACTCGTTTCGCTGTTCTTGCAACCACTTATTCATGTGGAAGATGGAGTTTCTGTAGGATTCGCTGCCGCTTGACAATGTGTCGTTCTTTGTCCACCTGAGTGCTCATCGCGCATACCGTCCTATGAAACCCTGAAATAGACCTAATAGCACGTTATCAGATCCCCACTAAAAGCATTTTCCTGACCTTTTGGATGATACGGATGACAGCGTGGTTCGCTAGCTTGTTAGAAGCGCGACAGTTAGGAAATCGGTACAACAGTACAACATTCGTGGCCTTTGAGTTCGCCTAGGGCCAACCAAATCTTCCACTTCTCCGCGGCCTGCAAATTGCTACTAGCATTGCATAGGAACGGCTGGAAAGGCTCTCTGAGACTCAAAAAGAGCGGCGATTTTTAAAACTGGAAACTAGCGAACGTCGAAGCAAAGTTGTCCCTGGATTCGAGACAGAATGAATTCGATCAGCGCTCGATGACACTGGTGAAAGACACAAAGTCCTCGGTTGGTGAGTCAACCCACGTGCAAATCCAAACGCGTTCGTGGATGCGAATGCGAGACAATGAGCAGAATCAAAAAAGAGAAAAACCTGGATTCCGCACAGTAGGTGAAGCCAGGTCGTATAAATAAACAAACAGAAACAATTTTATACTTTTAACATTGGCAAAACGAGGAACATTTCTCTTCTCTTCAAAACACCAGTGCTCATAGGGCACTTTGCTTGCACGAAAACTTATGAAAAATTGCGACGGCAGTACTCAGGCAGGCTGCGACATATCTACTCGACAGGGCAACTGCAGATTACGAAGTTAAACGACGAGTACTGAAGCTGTACAACAGCGGAATTTTGGCGACTGGGACAAAAACGGCCGACTGTTCTAGAAATCGAATTCACCTGCATGGTCGAACGAACACGAATGAGTGAACGAGTGAGTGACCGAACACGAATTATGGAATAACAGAACAGTCTGAAGCACGTATACTGTTGGAAGTAGCAGTGGCTGTTCGAAGCAGCATGAGAACCTAACGAGTATGCAAGTTAGTGAACAGTGTACGATCTTGTAGTTTTCCTTGCTAATATTCCATAGAGAGCGCATGTAGCGCAGTGGTCTGAGGCGTCCTGTAACACACACGTGGATTCAATTAAACGCTGAGAATTTACCTCACCTAGTGACCACAAAACCTAAGAGCACTTGTAGCGCAGTGGTCAGAGGCGCCCTGCAACACACATATGAAATCGATCTCTGCGCCAATGGCCTACCAAGAGTTCCATT